TCAATAGTACACCTGTTTCAATGCCACAATCCTGGCATTCCAGTAATTGGACCTCCTGTGAATCAGGTAAAGGAAACTCTATGTTCAGTGAAACATTACATGGAATGGAGCTTACAGGCTACTGGTGGCATTCCACTGGCCTCAAGCACATCCCTGACCAGGATTGGACAGAGGGCGCTGCTCAGTTGGCAGGGTTGAAACCTCTCCACTTGGGCCTCCTAAAATGCCCTGAAGACAGACATACTTGAAGTTCATGTTTTTAGTTATTCATGGGCAACTGCTAATGCTCTTGCAACATGGCCTGGGAAATGTAAAAAGGATAATTTTTTAACACAAGGGAAACCTCTTTGAGCAGTCCACATTTGGCAGGCTATGGTGGATTTTCTCCTCTCATTTGGATTACCCGTGTCTTGATTGTCACCCTGTATGACTGCTACAAGGATAGACCAAGATGAGAAAGAAAAAGGAGGCCTCATGCAGAAGTAAATCTGTTTAAAGGAGAAATGTAGGAAGAATGAGTGGAGTCTGATTTGACTTCAGTTCAGTTTCTTACTTAACCTAATCTGATACGTAAACTTCTATGGGAACTGAAAGGATGAAAAGGAGAAAAAAAAGACTTAGTGATTAAGACTGTCCATGAATCAATGACTTGTTGGATTGAGGTGTAGTAGAAGCTGCAGAGTAAGAGAAGTGATCAGAGTGGAATGTGTTAAAATTAAGATTTCAGAGATGAAGCAGTTCTAAGAAGTAAATGTGGTAGTAGTTACCTTGTGCAGTGTAGGTACAAGTAGAAACTCTCAGGCTGAGGACACCAAAACACTGAGAAGTTTGAGTTGCGTACATGAACAGGGATGATGTCAACGTAGCCTGGAAGGAATTATAAACTTTATAAATTTATAAGCATTATACAGATAATGAAGGGAGTGTATGGAGAAGTGGGTTAGTAGAGTCACATTGATGTCAGCCATAGAAGAACAGTCACATGCTTCTCTCTTTACAGGTAATTTAATATGCCCAATGCAATGGGCTCTTGTATGAAGATTTCCTGTTCTAAGCTTTGCCCCAGATATATTACATTCTGAGTATTACATTCTGAATAACCATAGGAAGGAGGCACTTGTTGGGATGAGGTCCAAGTCTTACCAATTCAGAACACAACAAAGCACCTTATCTCTGGTGTTTAGGGGTTGGGTAGGGGGGCTTTGCTTAATTGGTTGAAGTTGTGTGTCTCCGACCTTGGAACTGGCAAGAATGGCAAACCAGCTTCCCACTAGTCCCTGCAAAGCCATATCTTTTCTCTTTCACAGGTTGTAGTTCAAGGAACTGACCTTATTTCGTCATCTTCAACAAAGCTCTAATCAGAAATTCCACCTCTTCTATTCAATTAGAAATTATATCTAATGCTATTCTACTCTAATTCTTGCATACAGTCAACTAATATTCATTATTTTTAAGGCAGTCCTAAAATATGCTCTTGTCTATATTTAATATTGGAAACACTTATCAATATTGCTAAGGAGGAACAAATCTGTTCTACCCACACTATAATTTCTCAAAAAATAAAGAGAACAGAAACTTTGATCTTTCCTTCTTTTCAGAAATTAAAAGAACAGCCACCAACTCTTCCAAACACATGGAAAATGCACCAAGATTTATGTCTGTGAAAGCATAGAGAATGATAGCAACAATTTTAATATTAATCCAGACATATTTAATATGTTTATCAAAATGATAATAAGTATAGTGTTCCTCATCCCAACCAGTGCTTCCTTCCTACGTGTATTCAGAAGCTAATGCTCAGAATGCAGTGTGACTGGAGCAAAGTTTAGAAAAGGGAATTGTTAGAAAAAACGCCATTGCATAGGGGGATGTTGAGTTATTTAAAATGGAGAAACAGGAAACCTAAAATTGCTACTAGCAACACTATAATTACCCTTGAGTTTGTCTGGAGATTCAAATTTAACAGCATTCTATAGGAAACCTGCCACTTGAATGAATGGCTTAAATGGGACCGATGGCAGGGGATGTGAATAATGAGGGGTGAATGATGGAGAAAATTCCGCAGGTGAAATTCAAATAACATCCACAACGAGAGGGTACAGGGAGGTCAGGCTGTGGAATATCCACCAGTATATTCTTGATCTCCATGTCCTCAATTGGTGGTCTATATAGTTGCGATCATTCTCATGATCCCAAATTTGAGGTAGTCACTGGGGCCACCCTATTCTGGACACCTCCTAACTGATTGTGGAAGATCCTTGGGACTTCTAACCTCATGGCTCTTTATAGGGTCATTACATGTAGTGCAGAAGATCAACTGTGAGAAGAAAGGAGCTATACCTCGCTGTTTGGATACATATAAAGAATCTTTTGAATGTATACATCACTTTGATTTGTGTTCCCATCCTAATATTGTCTTTCATTTATGAACATGATTTTATTTTCATATATTTGTGAATTTTTAATTCTCAAACAATATGGAATATTTGTCTTTAGTTGGTTTCTTATAGTATCTTTGTCTGTCTTTGTATCAAGGTCATGCTGGCCTCATAGAATGAATTAGGAAGTAGTCTTTGCTCTTCAGTTTTCTGCAGAAGTTAAGAACGGTTGTTCATTCTTCCCTAAATGCTTGGTGGAATTCACTACTGAAGCAATCTGGTCCTGGGCATTTATTTGTTGAGACATTTTGGTTACTGATTCAACCTCCTTAAAAGTTATAGTCTACTCATGTTTAATATTCCTTCATGATTCAGTCTTTGTAGGTTACGTGTGTCTAGGAATTTTCCATTTCACTAGGATTCCTCCTTTTTTCTGGTTCACAATTATTCTTAGTACTTTACTTTTCATTTCCTTATTGATTTTCTGTCTAGATGTTTTATCCATTATTGAAAGTGTGATAATAAAGGTTCCAACTAGTTTTGTGTTGGCATCTGTTTCTCCCTTCAATTCGGTCAATGTGGGTTTCATGTATTTTGGAGGTTAGATGTTTGGTACATTTACATTTATAATTGTTCTATATTCTTGGTGGACAGGCCCTTTTATCCATACATAATATCCTTTTTGTTTCTTGTCACCATTTGTCTTAATTTTTTTTTTTATCTGTTACTGGTATAGCCATGCCAGCTCTCTTTGGTTACCATAAATGTAGACTATGTTTCACCATCTTTCCCTTTAAAACTAGTTGTGTCCGTAGATCCAAAGTGAGTCAATTATAGAAACCATATACTTGATTCTGTTTTTTGAAATCCATTCTGCCATCTCTTCCTTTTGATTGGGGGAGTTTATTACATTAAAGGATTATTGATAGGGAAGACTTAGATTTTTATTTTTTTATATATGACTTAAGTCTCTTATTTCCTCCATTACTACCTTCCTTGGCATTTAGAGCATTTTTGTTTGGATGACATGTTTTGATGTCCTTCTTATTTTCAGTTGTGTATATTTTATTGGTATTTCCTTTGTTGTTACCATGGGGATTACAGATAACTTTGTAAAGCTATACCAATCTATTTTGAATTGAGGCCAAATTAACTGAAATGCCATACAAAATCTCTACTCCTAAAGCTCCATTTACCTCTCTCAATTTATGTTATTGATGTCTCTAATTTCATCTTCATACATTGTGTACATTTTAACATAGATGCATAATTAGTTTTATGCATTCGTCTTCTAAATCTTGTGGAAATGAAAAAGTAGAGGTACAAACCAAAAGTACGAAAGTAGATGGTTTTATGTTTGCCCACATGTTTACCTTTGACTGAGGTATTTATATCTCCATACAGCTTTGAGATATTGTGTAGTTTCCTTTCATTTGAACATGAATGACTCCCTTTACATTTCTTGTCAGTTCCAAGGCTAATAAATTCTATCAGCTTTTGTTTATCTGAGATCGTCTTCATTAACCTCTCATTTTTTAAAGACGTTTATACCTGATATAGAATTGTTGGTTGACAGGTAGGTTATTTCTGTTATAGCACTTTTAATACATCATCTCACTAACTTATGTCCTTATGGTTTCTGATGAGAAATCTGTTGATGATGTTATCCAGGATCCCTTGTACTTACTGAGTCCTACTTCCTTTGCTGCTTCAAGATAGTCTCTTGTCTTTGTTTTTCAATGGTTTGAATATAACATTTGTGGGGGTGGATATCTTTGAGTTTATTCTACTGATAATTCTTTGAATTTCTTGGATTTGTTGATTACTCATGTCTTACATCCAGTTTAGGGAGTGTTTGTTCATTATTTCTTCAAATAATCTCCGTGCCATTCTCTCTCTCTTCTTTTGGGGCTCTGATAATGCATATATTAGTCCTCTAGATGGTGTCCTACAACTCCTTTAGGGTCTGTTCACATTTCCCTATTTTTTTCTTTCTGTTCCTTAGGCTCCATAATTTCCATATATTTTTTGATATTATCATTTTATTAATATATGCTTTACCTGATTTCCGTTGGTTTATTTTCAAATGTTTGCTTTAGCAATTTTGGCATGTATAAGACAGTTGTCTTCAAACACTTTTGTCTATTAAAGCCCAAGGCCTATGTTTTTTCAGGAACAGTTTCAGCAAATTTATTTTCCTTTGTGGTTGATAATGGTTTTGTTTTTTGTGTGTGTTTAATTGTGCATTTGAAAAAACTGCCACTACTCCTACTCCTCTCAGATTTTTTCTCTGTCCTGACAATCTTTCACTTATTAGCTTGGCATGCTTCTAGACTTGGGATAAACCAAACATGAAAGCTGAAGGTGTATTCACCACTTTCATGAGCATGCATCGTGCCTGGCCGGTATGTGGATTTTTTAATTCCTCTGAATACATGGCTGGTTTTTGAACGTACTAATATCCCAAGCTTCTCCTCAGAGCTTTATATGGTCTATTCTGCATCTTCAATCTTAATCTCTTGCCCGTGGCACCTATGTTCTTATAGTCTCCCTGCAGTTATAATGAGCCCATCCAGCTGCTTTTCAGTTCAAGCTTAGAGCTAGGCAATACATACAGCAGTCTTTCAGACAGCCTCCACATAGCTTAGAACATTGCAAGTAAGATCTTTTATGATCACCCAATTTGAGAGAGGTAACTGGGAAAGGCAGGTCCCTCTTACAGATCAAACCTACAGTGTACCAGGCAAGAGGAGGGCAAAGGTGAGTAAAAATATGATGAAATTTTCTACCACTTTGAATCTGTCTTTTTCCTAACTGAGTGTTCAGTTTGTTGCTGTAGACCTTTGTTTGACTGTTTTCATGAGCTCTTATAAGGTTATTTTGGCCGGTTTATGGTTGTTTCCTTCTGTTTCCACGGGAGAACTCAGAGCTTCCTAGTCCATCATTTGGCTGAAATCACTCTATTTGTTCAATTTTCAATGGCTTCATAAAGTTCCATTGTACCAATGCATCATAATTTCCCTAACTCTTCCAAAGTTTATTGTAATTTAAGTTGTTTAAATTTTTTTCTTTCGTGAATGTGATTAGATAATAAATTTTATAAAATATTCATCAGGTTTTTTTTGGCAGTGAATCATGATAGTTTCCTAAGTGTTATGTAACAGGATAAACGACGTAATAAACACCCTAAGATTCTGTTTTCTTGCTGCAAATCGTATCCAAAAACTCTGGTAATCATAATTCCATAATGTTTTTGGCACACTTTTCAGGATTGCATCCTTCTTAGGACTGGATATTCTTCTTATAAAGCAAATAAAAGAAAGAAATATTTTGATGAGAAAACAAAAAGGCAGTTTCTTTCAATTTAAATTTTTGATCCTTTCTCGAAGGTCATCTTTTTGAAAAATGCTCATTAATCATTCCTCTAAATTGCGTGTGTGTGTACGTGTGTTTGTGTGTGTGTATGGTGTAAAATACTTAATTGTTTCAAATGATGTATGATCAACAAGTGGCTTCATCATGGCCAAAACAAAAAACGGAGTGGTATCTGGGGATTTCTAGTCTAACACATGGTCAATAATTGTTCAGCAAATCACTTGTAATAATTTACTAATGTATATGGATCTTGATAAAAATATTTACTTGTACTGAGTAAAAAATTAATGATTTCTTTATCACTATATAATAATTCATTAAGTTTACACTTTAATAAAAACCAGAGAAACAAGTTAACTGTTTTCACTTCTATTTCACTCCATGGACAACTGCTTTAACCTTGCTCCTCCTACCATACATTGACTAACAATTGGACTGTGGACTTGCGTGTTACCTTCCTGTTATACATATGATCTGCGAAGGAAGAAGAATAGAAGAGAGTCTGCTTAGACAGAGGAGCAACAGGCAATGGATCCCAAGGGTTGGTGTGAGAAACTAAATGATGGCCACGTGATTCCCGTACTGGGATTTGGCACCTATGCACCAGAAGAGGTAAAAATAGTTGTTTGGGGTTGAGGGTTCCAAACAAAATAGACTTGGCATAAGTGGAAGCCAACCTTGGTTGTCAAGTCATTGAGTTCTTGTGTGACTCCTGGAGGCTCACTTGGTTTTGTAACCAGGCTAGAACCATTCCTTATGAAAAGAGATAACATAGTCAGTGTTCCCTCTGCATCAGGGCCTGAACGTGTGGTCACCTACAGATTATTCTGGGTTTTCCTCCAGTTTCTATCTATCTCCCAGATTGGCAAAAGAGGTGAAACTCAGCAGTCAAGAACACTGACTGTTGGCTGCTTTGCTTTGAAGGTGATTGCAAGTGAGTGGTTTCTCTGTGTATTTCTGCAACTCAAGAAATCTTCCCTCCCACCAGGAATACATTATCCAGAGACATATTGTGATAAAAATTCCTGAAGAAGAGGTGAATGACAAATTATGTGGCAGAGTTGCTGTTCTGCTGTGGGGTAGCCTGCCAAGTGCTGAGCAACAAATAATCCACCTAGAGTTTCCCTCACACTTCTGCTACTTTTGGGAATTTATCACAAATGGAAAATATAATATCATTTGAGGGAATATACTACAGTCTTCCAAGGCAAGGTTTCAATTCTTTGTTCTAGTTAACGTAATTTTGATTGAAGCAATAGTTAGAGTTGGGCCTTGTACATAAGGGGCACAAAGTAGACAAAACTCGAGACTGAAAGCCAGAAGCTTACCTTCCAATTTTGTCTTTAGACTATTTAGTTGTATGACAAGCGACTAGATCTTAAACTTTAAGTCTCAGTTTCTCATCTATAAAATGGAAGATAATATTCAAAGGAACATTTTGGAGACAGATTGCAGGACTTCTTTACTTTGTAGTACAAAGTGGAATGAAGGGGAGAGAAGGGTCAAGGCTATCCCAGAAGCTCCAGCTTCAGTAAACTTCTGAATGCCTGTGCACCTAAGGAAGGAGCATGACACGCAGAGGACAGTTAGACCAACTATCTAGTTTCTTGCAATGTCATTGAAAAAAGAAAGCTTCTGAAATACTTAAAGAGAAATGGAATATTTTTCAGCCTAAAAATGGGGATATGTTGGTCAAAGGGTACCAACTTTCAGTTATAAGACGAATAAATTCTGGGGAACTAATATACAGCATGGTGACTATAGTTAATAATAATATACTATATTCTTGAGATTTTCTAAGAGATGAGATCTTAAGTGTTCTCACCAGACACAAAAAAGTTAACTAGGAGGTGTGATGGATATGTTAATTAGCTTAATTGTGGTAATCATTTCACAATGTGTATGCGTATGAGAACATCACGATGTATACCTTTTTATTTTCATACAATTTTTATTTACCATGTTCTGTCTGACTATACTGATAGAGGACTCTTCGAATCTATCACATTGTTTCTTGAGACTTTGTTTCATATGCCTTTTCCTTTTGTTGACTGAGCTTAACAACCAAGCATAATTTAAATCATATCCATGACTGCAACTCTGTGCTGAGTCCTGTGAGTCCTTTCCATAAATCACTGAAACTGTGGGAGTTCATGGAAACCATCGGGCTAGTGACCAACCAGTGATTACCTTGGATTTTAGAAGTTCCTAAGATGCCCAACTTTTATTACTTACCGGGAAAGACCAAGGCAAACTGCAATGTGTTCATCACCACACGTGCAGAAGTAACCTAAGACACTAGGAAATGTTTACTCTTAGGAAGTCCAAACTTTATGCCTTAGCTTTCTCTCAATCATGTGGATATACAACTACTACCTTTGGTTGTTCCTCTAGGTTCCTAAGAGCAGAACTGTGGAGGTCACCAAACTAGCTATAGATGCTGGGTTCCGCCATATTGATTCTGCTTATTCATACAATAATGAAAAGGAGGTTGGACAGGCCATCCGAAGCAAAATTGAAGATGGCACTGTGAAGAGAGAAGACATATTCTACACTTCAAAGGTGCTGTGTTTGTGGTTTTTGTTGAATGCTCATGTGTGAAGGTGATTGTGTTGAGGTGACAAATATGTTACTGGACCAGTAGTTGTTTGGCGAATTGTGCCTATTCATACAACTTTTTTCGCATATATTCATGTGTTAGCTCTAATGTCGAAAAAAGATGATGGCTTTCTCATGATTGTTTTGTTCAAATTTTATGATTTTAAAGTCACTGTACTTTTCAGAGCCCTAGATCATATCATTGTGATTTAACATGGACTACTGAATGAGACAGAACAGTGATCAGCCTATGGCTTTCCTCATCATCTGATGACTTAATAAAATTTCTTAACATTCCGTATTATCAGTTCTCACCTTCATCTGTAAGAGAAAGCATTATAAGAGGAGCTCACTGTATTAAACAAGATATAGCTAAAGTAATTTGAACTGTATCCAGCCCCTATTAATATGTTCATAGCCCTTTTCCCTTACAGTTATCTAAACAAAATGGATACTAAGAATTTCCCATTGGATTGAATGTTTGATAGAATGAGGCAGTGTTTGTCAATGGCTTTGTAAACTCCATCAAACAGAATTCAGAAAATGGGCACGGTTATTATTTGATAACACTTCTTATCTGAGTCATTTCATTTTGTTGTCAGTGGGTGTGTTGATGATAAATGCAAACAAATAATAGAGTTTCTATGGGTAAGTAAGGTCAAAAGTGAACCCAAGGGGACTGGACCCGGGGTCGAGTGGTTAAGTTTGTGTGCTCCACTTCGGCGGCCCAGGGTTTCACCGGTTTGGATCCTGGGAGCAGACATGGAATGGCCATGCTGAGTCAGCGTCCTAGATAGCACAATCAGAGGCACTCACAACAAGAACACACAACTATGTAGCGGGGGGGCTTTGGGAAAGAAAAAGAAAAGAAGATTGGCAACAGTTGTTAGCTCAGGTGGCAATCTTTAAAAAAAAAGTTAAAAAAATAAAACAGCATGCATTAATTAAAAAAAAATGAAAGGGAACCAAGAAGGAAAAAAGTATTTGTCCTCTGTTATCATCAGTTTCCAAAGTAGAAAAATGTCTAACTTTTAGGTGAAACAATAAAAACAAAACTGACTAAAATATTAACCCAACACAACTTCCATTCTTTAACCTCTGCAGCTTTGGCTGACCTTCCTTCAACCCGAGTTGGTCCGGCCAGCGTTGGAAAAATCTCTGACAAATCTTCAGCTGGACTATGTTGACCTCTATATCATTCATTTTCCAATAGCGCTGAAGGTGGGCAATTCATGCAGTGACACCTATTCCACTTCTTCTGTCAGAATGTTGATCAGTTTGCATGGACGGTTAAGATATCTCTTGGAAGAATGCAGGAATTATTACACTAGAGAAGAATCCTCAAAATAATAATTCCTGGTTAGCATTTTACTGACCCTTTTTGAATCCCTAAATTCTTTTCCATGCCTCAAAGAGAAAACAGTTCAATAATCTCAAATTGTTTGTCTCAAAAACTTGAGGAAATAAAAATAGGCATGTTCAAATGCAGTCCTGATTAGAGTGGCGATGTCACAAACACAGTTTCATGCAGCTGTGATGAGCGATGAAACTATGTTACACTTGGGCATAATGAGTTGATCTCCTCTCTCACCATTTAAAGTTGAAAGCAAATTTGATGGTACTCCCTCTGGGTGAGTCTAAAACTAGCAGCCTTCATAGGGACTTGCAATACCTTACCTACACCATTGGCTATTTCCCCAGTGGAATTTTGGTAAATAGACTTCACTTAGCCATCAAGGACTACATTATGTAGAATTCTTGATGTTAAATTATAGAAAGATACTCAAGCTATCCTATGCAAAAGAATTTATTAGACTATGTAAATTGGATGTCAAAGCCATGGATAAATTTAAGGACTTGGAATAGCCTTCAGAAATATCTCCTCTTCTCTATCTCGTAACTTTGCCTTACTATTGGTTAGCTTTATTTATCTCAACATTTTCCACTGGTGACAAATATAGACTTGGGGCAATTCAAGCATGATGGTCATTAACACTTGAGAGCATCTGTGGATCCTCTGGCATCCATATTATTCCTGAAGAGAAACTTGAATGACTCTATTTGGTTCATGTGTCTTCCCTTAGACTATCAGATGTTCAGAAGGATAAGGAAAACTCATTATAGCCTGGATGAAGAGTGGGAGTTATTCCGGAAATGTCGTGTGTAACTTACTGTTATCCAAGTGCAAGGGAGGCCTTTTGCAAGATTGAAATATAGGGGACTGACAAAGGTAACATAAGTCCTTGTGAGTTCTCATTAGGGCCTATGAACATAGTATTTGTTCAAACACGTGACAGTGTAAGAGAATAGAGGAAGCCTGTCTCCTAAAGACATTCCTTACAACTCCATATGCAAGTCATTTTGCAAATATTAGTATCTAGAATGTTGCACCACCTAACTGAAGGAGGTTTAGTGTCCTGGCCCTAGATGTACCTGGCAGTGTGCTAAATGTGAAAAAATTATTGTGTGATATCACTAAAATGACTGCTTCTATTCAGCCAGGGGAAGAACTTTTTCCAGAAGATGAACATGGAAAATTAATATTTGACACAGTGGATCTCTGTGCCACATGGGAGGTGAGTGCTTGGAGGAGGAAAAACGGAGGAGGAGGCCAGGAGAGGGGGAATCTGGTTCATTTCTTCCACTTATGAGAATTGGCTCTGCGTCTTCACATTCAGCCATTCATAAACTTTAAAAGAGCTGGTATGCTGTGGTAGTGTGCAGGAAATCATTACTGAAATGATTATAGTGAGGAGTAGGGCAGAATAATTTGGGTCAATGAGGATAAGCATCTCTTCAACATGTAATAGTCTCTCACATTTTTCCAAGAAGACAATAATTCTTATTCTTGCTGTCACTACCTTCCTCCTTATTTAGTTTACTATCTTGCCTTTTCTTGGTAATCATGCCTATTTGCTTCATTGTCATTTCTTGACAGTTGTTCCTTTTAACAAATTCTCCTTGCATTTATTCTTGATCTATAGCTCTTTGAACAAATGACCCTTCACCATCTCTTCTTCCCCAGGCCATGGAGAAGTGTAAGGATGCAGGATTGGCCAAGTCCATTGGGGTGTCCAACTTTAACCGTAGGCAGCTGGAGATGATCCTGAACAAGCCAGGGCTCAAGTACAAGCCTGTCTGCAACCAGGTGAGTACACTTGGCCTCCTCACCTTTCTGTTCTTCATCTCCTTCTTGCACTATTGCCAGATGTCTATTTGGCTTCCCCTGCTATTATTCATCTTATCCCTACTGAACAGAAGATTCTAGAGAGTAGTAGAGTTTCTATCTACTAGGGTGTGAATAGAACCCATAACTGTATCTCTGTTTTCTAAAGTCTTAGTGAAAAAAGTGACCAGACCTTAATGATAAATTGCGCATACAAATTTACAGAAGGTAAAGGAGGTGACAGATGGCTGGAATATCTACCAGACCTCACATGGAAGGTGACATTTCCCTGGGCTGTAAGGGATGTCCAGAGATGGGATTGGTGAAAGTGATTTGGAGAGAACTGTTTACAGGAAGGAAGGCCATGCAAACATGGAATGGACAGTAAGTAAGGAAAGAGTGAAAATAAGATGAGGTAGGTGTTAGGGGTTTTTGTGGGATTTCAAGGCCTGAATGCATCCTCTTGGAGTCTTTTAATAGGAAGCATGGATACAAAAAAAATTAACTGGAGAGTATGAAAGTCATCCAGGCTAGAGGGATGAAGTTACTGGTTTACTGGATGCTAATGGTGGACAAAATCAACACTCAGGAACATTTAGAAGGAACATAGAGCCAACTCATTGATTTACTCATTCTTAGTTTGGTTCTCCTCAACAATTTCTACCCTCAAATTAACTGTTTAGACACAGTGTTCTGTGTCTGACTCTGTGCTCTTACTTTGTTTAAATCTGTTCCTATTTTATTGTGGAAAGAACTCTTAACATGAGATCCACCTACTTAACAAATCTTTATGTATACAATGCAATAAAAGTTAGTTAACTGTTGGGACAATGTTGTACAGCAGATCTCGAGAACTTAGTCGTCTTGCATAGAGACTTCATGCCCACAGTTAGCAACTCCCGATTTCTCCCTCCTCCCAGGTCATGGCAACCACCATTCTGATCTCTGACTCTAAAAGTTTGACTATTTTAGATTCCTCATGTAACTGGTATCATGTAGTACTTTTACATCTATGAGTGTCTTATTTACCATTAAGTACTCAACGTGCAACTTGGAGTTAAGGAGGAAAAGTCTTCGACTAGAAATTGTAGTTTAAAAAGTTGTAAGTGATCACTTATATAGTGATACAGCCCCATGATTTTGATTTACAAATGTCAAAAATTTTCATGTGATTCTAGCATTAGTTTTACTCTCAATTTTTATTATGAAAATTTTCAGATATTCAGAAAAGTTAAGAGTATGGTAGAGGATATCCATGTTTTCCTTTCTATATCAGCAATTTTTCACGTTTTGCCACTTTACCAAATATATATATATATGTGGATATATCTGCCTAAGTATGTGCAATATTTTTGAGACCTTCAAAGTAAGCTGTAGACATGACAGTTCACCCCTAGAGACCTCGGAAAGCATATGATCTAATATCCAATCTATATTCAAGCGTCCCTCTGGTTTTCCCAATGTCTTTTATAGATCTTCTTTTTAATCAGGAGCCAACTGTGGGCCACGTATTACTTTGACCCATGTTTCCTAAGCTCTCTTACCTTCAAATGGTCACTCAATCCTTTTTATTTACATTGATGTCTAGATAGCTTTTCATCAAATATTCTGTATTTAACTCATTGTTATCTTGTGATATTACATAACTTGTTTCTCTCTTCCCAGTTTCTGTAAATTAGAAGTTAGATGTGAATGCCTTATTACATTAAGATTAAATTTTTTTTGGCAAGAAAATGTCATCTGCATGCTGTGTCCCTCAAATCGCACTCTAGGAGAAGCCCATCATGACAAGTTGTTATCTCACCACTGAGAGAGGTGTTAGTTTTGTTCTCTTGGTTAAACTAGTGGTAGCCAGGTCTTTTCTTGGTAGATGTATATTTTCCCCTTTGAAATTACCCAGCAGTCTGTTGGGTGATGATTTTAGTCAGGAAGTCACATGGCCCCCAAATTTTCACATAAAGGTTGAGTATCCATCAATGATTTTACCCTGATTTAGTTATTTAATTGGCATTTGCAAATAATTATTTCCAATTTTAAACATTCTACTTAATTTTCCCACCTGGCAATTTATTGTAAAAAGAAAATTCCCTCCTCACGTCAGGATAAAATACAATTATTCCTATAAGGCAGGGTAAAAGCTTAATTTCTTCCTTTTAATTATCAATGTTCCCAAAAAGCAGTTATGTAACAATCACCTACAGTGAGAACAAAGATTTTTGTTCTCACTCTCATCACTATGACTCGTGGAGTTTTATTTACTCCATGAGTTATAATTTCTTTTACTCCTTAATCTCTTTGATTCTCAAATCTATACAACTGTCGCCAGTGGGATCCCCAGCAAACTGGTTCCTTTGTCCATTAGACATCCCATCATGAATCTCTGAATAGTTTCTTCTTTTCTGGCACAATTTGGTGTCCAAGGCTCAAATAGTACTTTTTTTGTCCCAGATCTGAAATTGACCATGTCTCCTTACAGAGTATGATGGTATTGAATAACCAAGATATGCTCCATTCAGTACCCTGTCCTCAAAAACTTAATTTTCTTTTTTTTCCACCCTTTTATAGAACAGAGGTATAATTTTTTAAATAAATCATTACTTGATGTTCATATTTCCAGTTTAAATTGAATATTACACAGCTGTTTATTCAGCTCTTTTTTTCTTTTGAAGCTTTCTCTTTCATAGTAATACTACCATTTCATATAATCTGACACTTTTCTCTCTTGGCATTCTACAGGTGGAATGTCATCCTTATCTCAACCAGAGCAAACTGCTGGATTTCTGCAAGTCAAAAGATATTGTCCTAGTTGCCTACGGTGCTTTGGGGACTCAACGTCTAAAAAGATGGTAAAGAAGGCAATGAGGAGTTTACCTAAAATGACATTTTTGATGCAATATTTTTGATCATACCATACTCAGTTTTCTGGAATTAACTCTCAACAAGTTTGTGGGAGAGAGGGGAGGAACAAAAGAAATGCTTCTCCTTTATCATCCCATCACCCAACCAATGGTTTTACAGTATATGTGTCTTATTGTAGATTAATCAATAATAAATGTCTGCATTACAATGTATAATAATCCAAAAATTGAGACAAAAGACATAAGCTTAAGTCATGATTTAGATATGTTTTAACTAATTAACACCTTTCTAGTAATATACTCTCTAAGCCTCACTTACCTTATGTCTGAAATCAGGATAAAATGTCTTAATTCCCAGGTTTATCATAACAACAAAAATTACAATCTGAAACATTTTTGTAAACTTCTATAGAAATATTGCACACTATAAGTAATGATAAAATCAGTAGTTCTCATTTTGGGTCTACTCAATTTTTATCAACATCTTAGAAAGTTAAAAAATATCCCAGTATTTTCCTTCTTTTTTTCCTTTCGTACTCTTTTCCTTTCTTTGGGGCTATACTCAGAGAAGAAAAACAGTCACTGAGAAGGAGAAGAGAAAAAGACCCATGAGTTTGGAAGTATTAGTCTCAACTCAAGCATGGATCAGAAAGTCCTGGAGGGCTTTGTAAACACAGATTGCTAGGTGCCACACCTGAGTTTCTGAACCAGGTGGTCTTTGGTGAAGCCATGGAATTTGCCTTCCTAACAGGATCCCAGATGATACTGATACTACTGGTCTAGGGACCACCTTTTGAGAAGCACTGGTCTAGAGAGGGCCTACTTCGTCTGCGTGGGAAGCCTCCTAACAAACTGAATACTCAGCCTCAGGTCTTCAGCATCTCTGCATTTTCTTCCAGGCTTGCCCCAAACTCCCCAGTCCTCTTGGAGGATCCAGTCCTTTGTGCCATGGCAAAAAAGTACAAGCGAACTCCAGCACTGATTGCCCTTCGCTACCTGCTACAGCGTGGGGTGGTGGTCCTGGCCAAGAGTTACAATGAGAAGCGGATCAAAGAGAACATGCAGGTGATGAGTGATGCTGTGGGCATAGGCCTCCTAAATTATATCCTTCATATGTGTTCTTCTTTGTAAGGCTCTCAAGACATATTCGATCCCAGTTGAGTTACCTGTTATTTCCCACTCATGTGTGCCTTATGTGTATTCCGACCAGTTTTCTCCTGCTGTGGCAACATGAGAGGCAGCATGACTGGATGGAATCCAGATTGGACAGAAAACAGATTTTAGTTCCAGTATGAATTCTGAAATGTGCTCTGTAGCCCTGTGCAAGTAAATTTCATTTCCTTCATTTTAAAATTAGGGAATTGAGAGAAAGATGGGCACAGATGTTAACTCAGGACCAGTCTTCCTCAGCACAAAAGAGGAGGATTGGCAGCAGATGTTAGCTCAGGGCTAATCTTCCTCAAAAAGTAAATAAATAAAATAAAATAAAATGAAGAGATTGTATTACATGGTTTTCTTAGTCCATTTGGGTTGCTATAGAGAAATATCAGTCTAGGTGGCTGATGAACAGCAGAAATTTATTTCTCACAGTTCTAGAGGCTGGAAGTCTGAGATCTAGGTGCCAACATGGTCATATGAGGCCTCTTTTCTGGGTTGCAGAATTCACATTGTATCCTAGCATGATAGGAGAGGCAAGGGAGCTCTCTCAAGTCTCTTTTATGAGGGCATGAATCTCAGGGTTCTACTATAATGACCTGATCACCACTCAAGGGCCCCACTGTCTAATACCATCACAGTGAAGGTAATGTTTCCAATATATGAATTTGGGGGGGCATGCAAACATCCAAAGTTTAGCAACGATCTGTCTCCAAATTACTGTGGTTTTAGTTTGCACTTCCTTGAATACTAACGTAGTTTCCTTTTCATGTATTTAATACCCTTGTTTCCAATTTTATGAAGTGTTGAATTCTTTGTACATTTTTATTATCTGTTTTTTTATTTACTTTAGAGAGACCATTAGTAAACCATTAGCTGTAGCTGTATAACAAGCTATCTCCAGTGTAGAGATTTACTACAGAAGCCATTTATTTAGCTCATGATTCCGTGGTTTGACATTTAATCTGGGATCAGCTAAGCAGTGCTATTCTTGGCTGTGCTGTCTCATGTATCTTCGGTTAAATGCAGAAGAAACAAGCAGCTCTGCTTTAGGTGGTTGATTTGACTGTTGTCAGAGGTGCATAAACCCTGTTCCATATAATTTTTCAAATAGTTGACTAGACCATAGCCAACTAGCCTGTTCTTAATCTCATCACAGTGGCATGATCCCAAGGCAGTGGGTTGATACTTGCAAAGCCTTTTCATGTCTAGGCTCAGAATGAGCTCACTGCTGCTTCTAGCAAATTTTCTTACCAGTGCAAGTTACAAGCTAGGCAGGACTCAAGGGGTAGAGAATCTTGCAAAAGTGTTTTTGTCTTTCCATTCAAATTTGGGTCTCTAAAACACCTGAATTGATTTTTAATATGATGTGAAAATAGACCCAATTATGTATATGATTAAATGGAAATCCAAATGGCCATATTCTCCCACAGATTTTCACTATCCTATCTGTCATATATCAAATGTCCCTCAGTCCATTTCTGGACTCTCTCTTCTATTAAACTACTTACTTTTTGGTACTAATTATAGTGGAAAATAATTCTTGCTTTCCAGAATGGTAAATTTTTTTTTCATTCCTTTTTCTTTTGTAAACATGTCCTGACTATTCTTGACTAGTTGTTCTTTTATGTAAAATTAAAATGTGCTATTACTTATCAACTTCCACAAAAAGTAAAAGTGTAAATCTTTGGTTCATATTGCATTGAAACTGTAGAAGAATTCAGAGAAAACAGACTTCTTTATAATATTGAGATTTCCCAGCTATGATTACGATATGAATTTTTAATCATTTCGGTATTCTTTATACATTTTTAATAAATTTTTGTGCCTTTATCCACAAAGGCATTTACATAATCCTTCTATTAGATATTTTCATAGATTACTAGTAATTTTAATATCCTTTTGATAACCTTTTATTAACTTTTTATTTTGAGGATTTTCAAATGAGAAGAAAAGTTGAAAGAATAATGCAATTAATGTGTAACTTAGATTCATCACTTGTGAAATTGTTGACATTGTGCCAGCTATCTATCTATATCTATTTATATATCTTCTTTATCTATCTCTATCTTGGAATGTTACTTTGGGTTTATGGATTTATTTGGTTCAACATTTTAGCCATTACTGACATACTTTATGATGCTTAAAGTGTCCACATTTAGACAGTAACATCCTCTTCAAGCCAGTTACTGTCTTTTGAACATGACATCATTAATATTTGGACAATTATTGGTTTAAATTATCCTGAAAAATTTTTTCCACATTCTAACTGTTCATTGATTAGATATAGAACTCCACCTGTATTCCCAAATTACTATATTATGTTGTGTATTTTTACAGTTTACCTCTGAATTCTTTTGGATCTTCCAAGTACATGACCTTATATCTTTGGGTAATGTCAGCTTTGTTCCCTCAGGTCCTTTAAAGATCTCCTTTTTGTCTGTAGCTTTGTGAAGGTTCAATATATTATATCTAGCGAAGAACTTATATTTAATTTTCCTGATATTTTTTACCACTTGAGTATTTTGCTTGATGTCTTTAAAAACTTTTGGAAACTTCTAAGACATTTTGATAATTGCCTCTGCACCATTCAGTCTTATTTGCTTGGGTTTTCCAGATTGGCAACTATGCAATCTAAAAGTTTTAAAAATTCTTCTACTTTTGTGATAGGTTTTTGAATTCCAGTTGACTTCAGAGGACATGAAAGACCTAGATGGCTTAAACCGAAATCATCGATTTCTTCCTTTACAAATGTAAGTGACTTTGGTAAATGTGCTTGCCTCAATTTATTTTCTGATAATGAGTGTACAATGATGGTTAAAAGTTACCTCCATACCAGGAAGAAAGAGACCAGTTTAAGTCAAGGATGAGACAGGAGTTTTCTAGAATCTCATCCCAGACTCACTCCAGAGCTTTGTTTACTGACACAACCACAGGGTGAGTGGGCCAGGGCCAGCTTGGACTTACACACATACGTCCTGCTCTCATCACTCCATGGAACTTTCCAAGAATCTTAATATCATTGCTGAATCCACATCTTCCACATAGGCCATCCATTTCTACAAGAATCCGATGGGCATACACTGTAGATATCACTAGTGCAGCTTAATTCAATGTTTCCAAAGAGTGTTTATCATCTTCTTCTCCCAGCTTCTCAGTTCTTTATCAGATTAAAGTCTTCTCCATCAAACTTGTGATCAACAGCAGAAATGCCCGTGCCCTCCCCCCCCCCCCCGCCCACCATGGAATCTTCATGAGATCCTGCCAAGTGTATGACCTTCATAAGTTTCCAAATCTCTCTCTTCCTTTGCATTGCATGTTTGTCCAGGACCCAAGTACTGCATTTCCTTCCAAAAAGGCTGTCATTCTTGGGTCCATAGGAGTTCTTGGTTTAGATTTTCTGAAATATGGTGATGTTAAGACAGAGGACAAAGTTTTCAAGAAGAGAAATATAAACCAAAAGAAGAATGTGGAGTCAAAAGCACCATTGTTGGAGAGATTATAGCCTCTAAAAGATCTTTACTATTCCTTCATGCTCTAAGGTTCTGGAATTTTGAGAATAAAGCTTCGTTGTAATTGAGGGAAAAGGAGGGATACACATTCCTGCTGCATGGGAGAATTTTAATTCATAATAGTGACAAATGTGATAAAGTGTGGAACAAGATAGCATGATAGCAAGTTGTGAATACTCAAATGTTTATAGATATAGTATTCTCCTTGCTAATATAGAGACAAGTGAAGAATAAGGTAGGGAAATAATGCAGAGAGAAAGAGACGGATAATCATTCCGTAATTTTTACAGGTAATTATATATTTTATTAATAAGCAATCATTTCTCTATCACTTTCTACTTTGAGTATTTACTGAAACGAGATCTCCTTATTGTACAATAAGATCCTTGGGGATGGGACCCAATTTTTACATGACATTCTTTCCATTTCTAAATCTAACTAGATATGCTGTATGGGGTGGACAGTTCATAAATAATTAATAAATTTTAAAAATATAGGTGAAATTTCATTCAGTAACCTGTATCACCCAAAGTATTGATTTGTGCTGAGCATGTAGCTGAACATCTCCTGTTCAAAACAAGGCAGAATCAGTCTCTTCTTCCCCTGAGGATTCGAGATGAGAAAGGGTGGTCTATCTCATTGCTTTTTTGACAGATGTAGGTAGGGAGAGAAATATATGTGAATATTTGACTTTGTGTTCTGTATATTCAGTTCTGGGAAGAGAATATGATTTCAATGATTTAATTTTTCTCACTATTTTTTTATTGTTATCAAGTTATGTTTGTGAAAGAAAGAAAGGCAAGCTTCACAACCAGTCAGGAAATAAAATGTTTGACTTAACCCTAATGACAGTTCCGTAGAAATCACTTCTCTACCACCCTATAAACAGAGTCATTGACCCCATGTATGCATTGTTCTTTCTCATTTTAGTGCTGTTGACCACCCGGAGTATCCATTTGCTGATGAATATTAACATGGAAGCCTTTGTCCTGAATTCTACCAAAAACCCTGATTGCAGATAATGACACAAGAAAGGTCTCAGATGTTGGTGATCAGACACATCTGCATGGGTTCCATCCATGCTGCTTAGCAACTCATGCTCAGCTAGACTTAAGTCTATAGGTTAGGAAGGAAAGGTACTGCATTTTTGTCATCTTCTGCAAAAAATTAAAGACTTTTTTTACCTAAAGACTCTTATGCACTCCAGTCTCTGTTTTTTATATTTTCTGACTCATTAGAACCAAAAACCGATTTGCCTAGATATGGGGTAGGAGGGAGATGAAATACAATAGCAGAAATTTTATAGACATTTGTGGAGTGAGGTGGGTAGAGTTTTTAGCCTCTAGAGAAGTAATAATTGGCAGGTATTTGTCAATCAGTGTTCCTTTAGTCCTTTGGGGAACAAGAGGACACACTGCATGTGGTCTGGAAGATGAGGCACATATAAAAGGATGACCAACAATGCATAGGCTCTCTTCCAGCATCACAGGGCATCAGAACTCCAGGAAATCCAAGAATGAGGTTTCCCTGCGGCAGGGTTGTCCAGGAGGTGGGAGGGGAACCAGCCTGGAAGGATGGTTAGGACTCAGATATACAGAAGATTTGGGAGGAGAAAGTTTAACACATAACTATTTGGAAAACTTTGGAAAATGCATCTTTGCTACTTCTCTCCTGAAGATAAAAAGAAACTTTCCACAGTATTTTACCAAAGGGCCAGAGCTGAGAGTCAGGACTAGACTGCCACATGTGCCTAAGGAACAGTGATGAGCTTGCTGAGGTGTAGTTAGACAGGAATTCAAAGACATAACTGACAGATCAAATTACCCTGAACATAAACTCCATGTTTATCAAATTTTATCAGGTTCCAAAAAATATTAATTTGATATATTGATAGTGAACCTGAAGCAAATTTGCTCACCTGTTGTGCAGCAAGCCAATCTCTGACACCGGGTGCAATGGAAGAAAATAGGAATTTTATTATTTCACAGCACTGAGCAAAGAGAAAGGGCAGCTAACCCTGAAATCCCAAACTCCCTGAAAAGCTAAAAGGGAGGGTTTTTATTTGGGGTTTTAGGTTGGGGAGGGGGAGCATATGACCTTGCTGGTCAGAGCTTTCCCACCAGCCTATCTTTGGCCTTGAGACCACTTGCAGAGAGGAGGAAGCCAGTGACCTTGCTGGTCAGCAGCTTTCCCACCAGCGTGTATCTCCTTGGCAGGGAGGAGATAAAGAATCCAGGCGCTTGTCCTTGGCAGTGTTTGTCTCCATGGAGGATAGTGGATTCTGGAGCCAGGAAGCCAGGGAGTAAGCAGGGAATAAGTATTTGGGTTTTAACCCCATATATGCTGGGTTTAATGTAGGGAAACTGATATCAGGGTTGGTATCAATATTTGATCCTTGTAAATGAGTCATACACAAAGTAAGGCACACAACACAAAATACTCCTAAGCATTACATATTTTCTGTAAAGCCTATATAAAGAAGCAAATACATTTAGTAATTCCAATTCCTTGAAGTTTTCCAATGCCATTTGAAAATGTATGGATGCAAAATAGCACAATGCTTACAACATTTATTAACTTTTAGGAACATCTTTTATAAAAATATATGCCTTTATTTTCTATATTTTTTTTTTAAGGAAGGTTATCCTTGAGCTAACATCTGCGGTCAATCCTTCTCTTTTTACTGAGGAAGACTGGTCCTGAGAAACATCTATGTCCGTCTTCCTCTATTTTGTGTGGGATGCCTGCTACAGCCTGGCTTGCCAAGTGGTATGGAGGTCTGCACCTGGGATCCAGGCTGGTGAACCCCTGGCTGCCAAAGCAGAATGTGAGAACTTAACCCTTGCTCCACAGGGCCAGCCTCTATTTTCTATATTTTTTAATGGTACAAACTTGGTCATGTAATCATAGAGAACTAAATTTTTAGCAGATCACTTTGTTAAAATATGGGACAATCATGGACCAAACAGGGACAATCAAAGAACCTTGAGAGTAAGAGTTGTTCAGAACCTGGTACACTTTCTAACACCTATAGCTGCAAATATTGCTTGCTCTCATGACCACATCCATCTGTCATAACCAACGCACCTTCTACAGCCATGTTCTTCAGCTGGGACCTAACCAACAAGCTGTGCAACCCACAGTCTTTCCTAAAATGATTCTTCCTTCTAATTAGAGAAGACCATCTATGTTCTCAGATTTTAGTTCACATTTGAATGACTGTAGTATAACTTTCTGTTGTTCGTTCTGTTGTTAAAGAACGAATCTATAATTATTGGGAGTGAATCCTTTCGATAGGCTGCAATTATACCTCTTTTATTCTTCATAATTTCTCCTTGGACTTTTTTTTAGTCAACATATTCAAATTCTTCGTAGAGACTCACTCCTCTGGAAAGATTAGTGTATATGACAAAGGTAGCCAAGTAAACACCCTTGACATGCTTCAGGCAGGAAAATGATAAGGAGAAGATGCAAATGCTGAAGAATCTATATTGTCTAATTCAGAACTGTTCACAAATGAGGGCCAAATTTTAATAATATTGAAAAGCTAGCAGTGATGCTACCACACAGAATGGAGCTCACAGGTGAGCAATGCCGTCCTACCCCTGTCTAGCTCATCCATGACCAGAATGGAGTTGAATCGACAGCTGTCCATTTCGCCCTCCCAAGATGCCCCTGAAGAGATGCCCCTACCTGTGTTTTCACTTATTTATAGGCAGCTGCTAATGGTCTTGCAACATGGCCTGAAATATAGAAAAGGTTTAATTTTTTATTACAAAGGAAACTGTTTTGAACAGCACACATTTGGCAGGCATTGCTAGGTTTTCTCTGCCCTTTTGAGTGACCCAGGTCTCAGCTGTCACCTAGGCCTGCACAACAGAGGCTCCATTGATGCCACAGGAGACAACCTATAAAAATCTCAAGCAGCTGCACTGGCTAGCCTCAAGTCTCAGAGTCAAAAATGCACCACCTCAGTACATCAATTCTGGCCATCTGGGCTCATAGTGTCACTGACTAATTGCCCCAGGAACTCAAGGGTGGATTGGGAAGCATTTAACTGTTTAAGAAATGCAATCACCACCCACCCTCAACCAGACCAAGCCTCACTACAAGAGTGATGCCTGTGACCTTTGCCTCATTATTAATGCTAAGATTGTCTCTCTAGAAGGACCCTAGGCCTTATTTCCATAAACTACTTTGTACATGGAAGCATGTTTTCCAATTGAGTCTGGGCAAGGGAATATACACCTCTCCCTCTTGACTATTAATGCCTCAATTGAAATAAAAGGGCCCTACGTTCCGGTGTTCTAGGATTTCCATGACTTTGAAAATGATTCTGCATGGCTACCTATGTGTTGCAAATATACCTTACTATGTGTGACAACTACTTCTGCTGGAGAGTCTGATTTTAACTCACAAGGAGGTGAACCCACTTTTGTTCAGTAAGAATACGACTCACGGCCATACTGGTATCCAGGCTCTGCCTTGGGAGTGTCTCTGGACAAAACAGCCATCCATAACTGTGTCCCTTGTAACCAAAGTAAGCCCTGGAAACTTGCTCAGTAGGGAGATCTTCCCTGTGGCCAATTACTTCCCTCCAGATGGCAAATCTATCATATTGCTCCACCACCCTTCTCTGGTGCCACGTGAGCATATCACGTGGCGATATGCTCTTACATGGTAGATATGCCCTTACATAGTAGACACACAGAAGGGTAATGCTCAACTAATGAACAGGGCCAGTGTGGACTCCGCAATACAGGCATTAGTCTAAGTTGGTACATTTAATCACAGACTCTGGTCAAGGCTCCCACCTGACTTCCCAGCCTGTGCAACCATGGGTATTTGAACAAAGCACACAATGGAATTTTCACTCTCCTATTGCCCTCAGCAGCCCATTTAACTAAAAGACATAATGGCCTCTTTAATGAATTGCTACGTAAGTTACAATCTGGCAATGGTCCCCTTAAATGGGTCTCTGTCCTACCTTCGGATTTGATCCTATTACGTTCGAGATTGGTGGGCCTTAAAAAACCCCATAACAACTTTCATAAGCTGTCACATCTCCTCTTATGAATTTTCAAGAGGAGGTAAAAGGATTCAGTGTGCACTAAGAGTCTACTTTTATATTTACTTCCTCAGCCACTTCCCCCTTCTTGTTTGATTTCCTAACCACCTGTCCTCCCATGAGTGCTGAGGGCAGGGCACATCTTATGACACAGTGACAATAGAATGCGCTGAGGGAGCCCTGATGGCCCTGCTATGAAAAAGCCCTCAAGAAAAGCCTATCTCTTCTCCATGCTCCAAAAGTTTTGCCAGAGTTTGCAGGATGTAAAGGTTAGTTAACAAATGCTAATGTCCTCTCTGCTCCCTTGCAGGAAATAGAAATAATTGCCCCAGGGCTGACTTCAGGACCACTGAGGACCACTAAAAGAGAAGATGACAAACTCCACTTAGTGAACACCAGCCATACTTGAAAATGACGAGGGAAGAAATTCCTGTGATTTTGGTGGAGGCCCAGAACCACACACAGATAGTCAGGGGGCCACACTTCTATAAGCACAGAGAGAAAAGACCCATACATCCACAACCATACCACTCTCCCCTGGTAAGGGTACAGCTCTCTGAGAGAACAGTGACAAAATGAACAAGAAACAAATCTATCAAAGGCAACTTGAGCCCTCATGCTGGCTGGTTGTGTCTGTCTAGATACTTGGCTAGTTCATGACACAGGCCCAAATACTTCGGCCAGTCAATTGTTACAAGCTGCTGGACAATCAAACATGCCCCTAGAACAATTGGACATTTTCAAATTGGAAATATATTGAGTCTCTCCTAAACTTCTCAGACTTGCTTGCCACTGCGTATGGTTTGTCCAAGGCCCAAGTGAGCACAAAGTTCACACGCCAGATGAACAACCTGGAGACCCCTCAGGTAGAATGATTCACAAGGCTGTTATTAGAGCAGACCACATTTTACCTGAGGTGAGTCCACCTGCACTCTTATTGACCCATACCCAGATTGCCCAAGGCACCTGTCGTAACTTACCTGGGGAAAGCTGGGTTATTTGCCAACCGTTCTGCTGTCCCAGTTACACTGGCTTTCCAATGTGCTTCCAGTAAATGAGCTGTGTGGTCAGGCTCAGAAAACATTGCACAAGAAGGTCAGGCCTTTGCCAACCTTTGATATCT